AAAAAAAAAAAAAATAGCTGGGCATTGTGGTGGGCACCTATCGTCTTAGCTTCTCCGGAGGCTGAGGCAAGAAGATCTCTTGAGTCCAAGAGTTTGAGGTTGCTATGATGTATTATGCCATGGCACTTTGCTGAGTGACAAAGGGAGACTTTGTCTCCAAAAAAAAAAGACAAATTCAATTAATATTTGTTGTCATGGGAGACAAAAATAAAAACACATATTCCCTAAGCCAATGGTTCTCAACCTTCCTAATACCACAACACTTTAATACAGTTAAAAGGGGTCATGACCCACAGGTTGAGAACCCCTGCCCTAAGCCTTAGACACTAGTCTTTTTTTTTTATAATAGAGACAGAGTTTCATTTTATCGCCCTCGGTCGAGTGCTGTGGCGTCATACCGCTCACAGCAACCTCTAACTCCTGGGCTTAGGCAATTCTTTTGCCTCAGCCTCCTGAGTAGCTGAGACTATAGACGCCCACCACAACGCCCAGCTATTTTTTTGTTGTTGCAGTTTGGCAGGGGTACCCTTGGTATACCCTGCCACCCTTGGTATATGGGGCTGGTGCCCTACCCATTGAGCCACAGGCGCTGCCCGCCACTAGTCTTAACTGCCTCAACCAACTATGGCCAGAACTAGTAGGTCTTTTCACTTTGTTCCCTAAAGCGCCATTAAGTGGCAGAGAAACACAAAGCCTGCATAAGCGCTCAGCATGAATCCTGGCTGCAACTGATCATAGCTGATGAAACATGCACCTATTTGGGTTTTATTCTTTTGTAGCTCCTGCCCAAGACAGGACGCTCGGGATGGAAAGCTCCGAGTGCTACCAGAGGTAAAGCTGGGTGAAGGAGGCAAGCAAAGACTTCCAGCCTCTCAGTCTTTTGAGCACCAGTGTCACCAAGCTGGAGATGGCAGTGGAAGCCATCTCTCAATGAGTTTGTTCAAATCTTCTCCACTAATACTTGGTTGGGTAGAAAAAATTAAATTAAGTCCTGGCACCTGGGTCCAAATCATTAGCAGTTTACCTGGCTGCTCAAGTTACCTTCCTCTTCCCTGTCTCAGCAATCTGGTAAGAGTTGTCCAGGATACCCAGGTGGGAAGGAAGAAGACAGTCACATGCTTCATTCCACTTGTCACCTCATGCATGGACCACACCCTGGGCTTGAGATCATTCTTAGTTGAAGTTTGAAAAAAAAAAAAATCAGTTGAAATTATAAAGCTCGATGATCACTGCTATATGTAGATGTATTTTAAAATTAAGCAAAACAACCCCAAGTTATTCCCCGGCATGCTCAAAGGATTTATGTGCTTTTCACTTATTAATAATCCAAAGTCCTTCGAATTCCTGCTGCATATATCAATAGCTTATCTATATTCTAAACCATCAAAAGGAAAAGTAGTATCTTGCTATCTTTGGGACACTAATTTAGTGGTATGTTGGGTTAGCTCATACCAGCTTAGAAAAGCTGGCTGTTAAATTTTCATTTTGAGTTGGATACAGTGGCTCACCCCCATAATCCCAGTGATTTGGGAGGCCAAGTTGGAAAAATTGGTTGAGGTCAGGAGTTCTAGACAAGCCTGGGCAACATGGTATGACCCCCCACCACTAAATCAAAAAATAAAACAAAATAGCTGGGCGTGGTATAGCTATAGCTGCTTATAGTCCCAGCTCCTCAGGAGGCTGAGGCAGGATTGCTTAAGCCCAGGAGATCAAGGCTGCAGTGAACTATGATTATGCCACTGCACTCCAGCCTGGGTGACAGATTTGAGACTTTGTCTTTCAAAATCAATCAATCAATAAGATTTTCATCTTGAGAGCTGCTTGTTAAATGCAGCCATTATTAAAACTTAAAATATATAAATGTATAATTATATAAACTATATTAAAATATTCCAAACTTAACATTTCCTGCCTTTATTATATCGATGCTCCTGAGGTTATTTACGTCTGTGGCATCTGTGTGGTGGAATTCATATATAACGGTGTGCATTTCTTCCCAGTTCCACTCTCATTGATTGGTAGAAGTATTTTATACCATGGAAATTGGCAAAAGCTATAAATCATGTCTTTTTTTTCTTCCCTGGAGAGCCAGTTGTTAAACATTTACCAACATACCACTGCTAATAATCAAGGCTAATTTAGGCTGGGCATGGTGACTCAGGCTTGTAATCTTAGCACTTGGGAAGGCAGAGATGGGTGGATTGCTTGATTTTCAAGAGTTCAAGATCAGCCAGAGCAAGAGCGAGACCCTGTCTTTAAAAAAACAAAAAACAGTCAGAAGTTGTGGTGGGCACCTGTCGTCCCAGCTACTGGAGATAAGCAAGAAGATCGCTTGAGCCCAAGAGTTTGAGGTTGCTCTGCGCTATGATGCCCCAGCACTCTACCCAGGGCAACAAAGTGAAACTCTGTCTCAAAAAAAAATGCTAAGTGGTCCAGAAATTACCTGGAGAACGAGATGGATGTTCTGGTTTTTGCTACTGACATCAAATAGCATATAAAGGTATAAAAACAGCACTAAGAATTTCCAAAAATATCTAATTAAAATTGTACATCTTTTGTAGAGGAAAAACTCTTTATATCATGTCTAGGTCTTTAAGAAAAACCTGGGAGTAGTGAACAAGTCAAGCTGTGCAGTCTATTAAAAGTAGTGTCTGTTGAGGAGTTACAGCTCCTGTCCAAAACAAATGAAGAAGGAATACAGAGGGAGAAGACAAACTCACCAGCTTAGACAGGGGTAAGACTACTGAACTCCTGACAGTTGTGAAATGGCTGTTACAGTGGCTGTATAATGGTTTGCTTGCACTTTCTCTATGTATATACAAAGCAGGTATATAAATACAAAAATTAAGCAGATCACGGTTCTCAGTAACCTGTTCCAAATGCCGTGGTTCACCTGCTTGACACTAAAAGGTTCTTCCTGGATCGTAGGCATTGTCAATTTAGCCAGCTGTGATCACCAGCATCATAGCCTAGGGATGAGAATCTGGATGGAGAGAGAAACCCGGCAGAAGCACTCACCTCGCCTTCTAGCTGTGTGGCCCTTGGAAGATTACTGTGGCTCTTCCAACCTCGCTTTTTTTCACCTGCAAAGTGGCATTTCTAAAAGTACCTACCCTACCTCAAAAGAATTCTGAAAAAAATTAAGTGAATTTATGTAAAGCACTTACTATATGCCTGACATGGAAATTGCTTAATAAATGTTAGCAATTTTTATTTTCAAAACCTCCTCAGAAGCAGTTTAGAAACTGTTCATATGTTTGGTACATATTTATTCTAAGTCAAACAGATCTAACTTCTTTTGAAAGCTGGTGGTCTAGAAGTATAGTTTTAACTACATTTGTAAATACTTCACAAGTATTAGATGCCAGTCAAATTTAAATATGCAATCTAACTTTAGTGAGTGACCTCCGTGGGCGAAAAAGAAAGCAGCTGTATTTTTCTTGTGGTTTTTCAAGAAAACATCCTTTTTATACAGATTTAGAAATAAGAATCAATGGCTATATCTAAGTTGATCACGATTGTTAACATAAAAATCAAGATTAAACAAATTTAAGAGTATCTTTCCTATAATAAAATATTTTAAACTTAGTAAGTGTGTCATGCATTATGAAGGGCAGTTGAAACTCTGGAACAAATGGCCTGATGTTCCCCAGAAAAAGATCTCTCTCATGTTACAGGTTCACGTGGTTGATATTTTGGGAGAAATGAAACTCTCATAGCTAGGAGGGATGAAAGCCACTGTTCCCGGTTACATATAATCAGAATAAGGTAAAGGCAGATAGATTCTTATACTACATTTCAAAATCAGTTACAGAATTATGGAATACCTGCTATGTTTAAGAAATGGATCCAGGTGTAGCGATAACAGCAGTAAATAAGACAGAAGTCCCTGCCTCACAGGGATTACACTATAGGTGAAGACATGAACAGCAAACGTACATAACATGCCACAGGATGAGGAGTAATGGAGCCCCAGAAAGAAAAATAAACCAGGGATGTAGTTGGGAATAGAGAATGTTAAGAGATTTTCTTGAAGGCCTTTTTAAGGAGGTCCAATTAGTGCAGAAAAGCAAATGATGTTTGAGGCAAGCCATCCAAATACCTGAGGAAGAGCCTGTCTGGCAGGGGACACAGCAAGTGCAAGGTCATTAGGCTGGACTACGCTTGTAGTATTTGAGGGATAGCAGGCAGGCTGATGTGGCCTGAGTGCAGTGAAGATGGAGGAGAGTTGCAGGAAATAGGTTGGAGTGGTTCCTAGGGGCCAGATCATGTAGACCATGCTAGGAGTGTGGATTTTTTCCTTTTTGAGTGATGTGAGAGTTGTGAGCAGGCAAGTGACACAATATACTGACATGTTTAAACAAATCACTCTGGCTGTTAAGAGAAGAGACTGTAGGGCCAGTGTGAAACTGGGAAGAGCATCTGGGTACCCCACCACAACAATCAATGCAGAGGTGATAATGGTTTGGACCATGCTGGTAGAAATGGAAATAGTGAAAATGATTGGATTAAAGATTTATGTATTTTGAAGAGATCAAACTGAGTTTACTGATGGATTGAATGTAGGGTGTGAGAGAAAAATAAGAATCAAGGATGACTCTGGGAGGCTGAGGCGGGTGGATCACCTGAGCTCTCGAGTTCAAGACCAGCCTGAGCCATAGCGAGACCCCCTCTCTAAAAATAGCTGGACATCGTGATTGTGACTGGTGTCTGTAATCCCAGCTGCTCGGGAGGTTGAGGCAAG